TGTTGGAAATACTCTTCTAGACATTGGCGTAGGCAAAGAATTTATGGAGAAGACTCCAAAGGCAATCACAACAGCAACAAAAATAAACAAATGGGACCTGATCAAATAAAACGCTTCTGCCCAGCCAAAGAAACTGTAAGAGAGCAAACAGACAACCCAGAGAATGGGAGAAACTTTCGCAAGCTACACATCTGATAAAGGGCTGATAACTAGAATCTCAATATTTAGAACTCAGGAAGATCAGCAAGAAAAAATCAAACAACCCTATCAAAAAATGAGCAAAGGATATGAACAGAAACTTCTCAAAAGAAGACAAAATAATGGCCAAGAAACATATGAAAAATGCTCAACATCTCTAACCATCAGGGAAATGAAAATCAAAACCACAATGAGATATCACTTATCTCCAGTGAGAATGGCCTTTATCAAAAAGTCCCCAAAGAATAAATGTTGGCATGCATGCAGAGAGAGAGGAACACTCCTACACTGCTGGTGGGACTGCAGACTACTTCAACCTCTGTGGAAAGCAGTATGGAGATACCTCAAAGCGATACAAGTAGATCTACCATTTGATCAAGCAATTCCACTACTGGGCATCTACCCCGAAAGATCATAAGTCACTTTATGAAAAAGACACCTGTACTCGAATGTTTATAGCAGCACAATTCACATTCATGAGTGGATTGATAAAATGTGGTATATGTACCATAGAGTCCTACTCTGCTTTAAGAAACAATGGTGATATAGCACCTCTGGTGTATTTCTGGATACAGCTGGAATCCATTCTACTAAGTGAAGTACCTCTAGAATGGAAAAACAAACACCACATGTACGCGCCAGCAAATTGATATTAACAGATGAACACCTAAGTGGACATATAAGAGTAACATTTATCTGGTGTTGGGAGAGTGTGAGGGGGGAGGACAAGATGAGTATATACAAATACAATGAGTAAGATGTGCAACGTTTGGGGGATGGACACACTTGAAGCTCTGACTCGAGGGGGTGGGGGTCATGGGCAATATATGTAAACTTAACACTTGTTTCCCTATAATATGCTAAAATAAAAAATAACAATAAAAAAATAAAAATCTTAGACTCAGATATTTCATAAAATTTTAATAGGTCAAAACTCCATATAAGGGTTAAAATGAGTGAACTAAATCTAAATGAATCAATATGAACCACAAAACCAATGTTAAGTGCTAAAACTTAGATAATGAAGCACATGACATACTGTTTATGTTAATCACAAAAATCACAAAACTATATTATGAACTATTTATGGATACATACATGCAGTAGAAGCATGAAAACATAGATAAGTGAGCTCACCAGCCTCGGGGCAGTAATTGTCTTAGTGGTAACAAATCGGGGGTAGGGAAATGTACAAGGGAACAATACGAATAATATCTATAATGCTTAAATTCTTAAAACTATTATGTAGGTAATGGCAAAATAGGCTTCAAGGTAACACTTATACAAAATCCTTAAAAAATATGGTTCTAAAGTATAAAAATGTAGTTAAAAAACAATTATTTGACACCACTGCAAAGTGCCCCAAAGCAGGAATCGCAGTTCCCCTTTTAAAGAGGGGAACTAAATGGGGTGGACAGGCAGGGTTCAGAGATGCACACATGCAGGGAAGGGCCCTCCCTAAGCCACATGGTGTGGGTAGCAGAGAGCCCCAGTCTCTAGCTTGCAAAGTCAGAGGATGGAGCTCAGGCCTGACAGGGATTGGAGTAAGGCATTGAGGGGTGGTTTTGTATATTTCTTGACGTCTGTGGGATAACACAAAGTTGTTAGAAAAGTTATGAACTCACACTTATTTGTATGCAGTTCCACTTGTGTGTGATTCATTTATTAACCAAAATTTTTTTAAAATTATGTCTGTAGTTTTGTTGTTTTCAGAAAAGATAAATAACAAGTAGTCCATTAAAGCAAGAATGTCTTAAAGGATTTATTAGGCAGTTGTCAGCAAGATCACTGGTGGCCTGAAGAGCTCGCTTTACTAGACAGGCGGTTTCTCATTCTTTCGGGCGGTATTCTGAGCTGCTTTTATTTCACAAATTGTCATCTGCAGGCCCTGTTACATACTATGTGAACGTTGCTGTAGCTTTATTACTTAGGAGCCTTTGAGTGCTTTACCGAATTCGCGTTCGGGATCTGCAGACATCCTTAGACATGCTTGAGGATGGTCTCTGTCAAGGACCGAGCCCGGACTCAGCCTCAGGATGGCCTACTTGGATCTTCAGGTCTTGACAAATCATGCTCCTACACTAGCATGGAAAATTACACATTAATTTTTAAATTGTTTTCTAGGGAATATTTTTTTATTTAATGATTTCCTTTTAGTATTTCCTAGAAATTTAGTCTGCTTATAGAATGTCAAAAGCTTAGTATCAAAACCTGGTACCAGAATAGGCTATTATTTTCCAACTTTGTTATCATTTTCCCGACCAAAATGAGACCATTCTCAAGAGACCTGACACTGTCAACTGACTGAAGGGCTCTTCCTTCTTAGTATACTTGCGCGGGAATGGTTGTCTGGAGAGTTCCCTGGGTGTGCTGTATATGACAGAACTGGATCTTTTATATTGGAGCCTTGTACTGGGAATGTACAGTGAGATCTGTGCTGCTGGAAGACTCTGTGCAAGTGAACCTTGCTGTGGTGACTCTCTGGGTGTTGTGTGGCCAGTGTAGCAGAACTTAGCTGTGATTGGTTTCTGAGTGCTGCTGGCTTTGTAGATGGGGTTTGATTGGATGTGGGTTTGGCTGGGGTGTTTGTGGCTGAATAATTTGCTGTGGTGGGTTTCTGGGGAGTTTGTCAGGCTCTTGTAGTTGGAACATGTACTATGGAGGGCTTCTGAGGAGTTGGTGAGGCTCCTCTAGCTGGAACATGTACTATGGATGGCTTCTGAGGAGTTGCTGAGACTCCTGTAGCTGGAACATGTACTGTGGAGGGTTTCTGAGGAGTTGGAGAGACTCCTCTAGCTGGAACATGTACTATGGATGGCTTCTGAGGAGTTGGTGAGGTTCCTGTAGCTGGAACATGTACTGTGGAGGGTTCTGAGGGGTTGGTGAGACTCCTGTAGCTGCAACATGTACTGTGGTAGGTTTCTGAGGACTTGGTGCAACTCATGTAGCTGGTCCATTTTTGAAAAGTTAATAGAGCTTCCATACCTGAATGTGCCCTGGATCTCCGTAAAGATGGTGAGAATACTAGATTTTCATAATTTTCAATGGTCTCATTTCCTGTGGAGAAAAATGGTGAGAAAAAATTACATAAATATTGCTGTCCAACTTAAGATTTCTTAGGCATTGCTTGCTCTATGGCTATTGTCTTTCCCTCTCCATAAACACCTACATATGACTTTTAGGAAACCAAGTCTTACTGCATATTTCCCAAGGAGCTGAATGGCTGCATTGCCTTTCATTTGATATAAATTTTACTTATCAGTGACTAAAGCAGAGTCATGTCAAAGTAGTATTGAGGCCCTTAAGCTGTTTCCTTGAGAGAAAAGGAAACCAAAGTTGGAATCAGAGTGATCTTATTCTGTAACCTATCTCTCTTTATTTGCTCTTCCAAATTGCCTGCGTTTGCTCATGCCAAGACCACAGAAAAACAGAATGCAATCATTGGACCAACAGAGAGAATCACAGCATAGTTACTTTTCCCACTGCTTTCAGGACATGTTAGTGAGCTTGAGAACTTGCTGTGTTGTACTCCTTCTCAAAGTAATATGGCAGTCTGAATAAAACTCACTCCCATTTCTCCTGTGCGAGTTACCAACTGTACGTATATTAGTTTAGTTCCTCTTTAGATTTCCGGTTAGATAACCATTAACGTCAAACTTCCATTAAGAACATGTTCTGAGAATAACAAATCTAATGGCACAGCACTGATGTAGTCTTCAGAGCCACTGTCTCTTTGGGTCGCTTGTACAAAGTCTGTTATGGCAGCTATTAAGTAGAGCTGAACCCTAGTTTTACCACATCCTAGTGACCTTGGGCAGTTCTCTAATCCCTTTAAACTTAAGTTTTCTCATCTGTAAAAACAGGATAAAAGCAGAACAGATTGCACAGCATTACCGTAAGGTTTAAGGAAATAATTTAGTAAGTTTCTCACACAGTGTCTGTCCCCGAAGCCACAGGTTGTACCATCCAGTACTCCTGCTGCCAGTCCCATCACACACATCATGCCCTCGTTTATATACACACACCGATGGTGCATGTTGTTTTCTGCTTCCTTACCTGTCTCACAGGATGCTATAAAGAATAACTCCAGTAAAATACCTACCAGGTAACACAGCACTTAGCAGGCACTGAAAACATCACAGGTAGTATTATTAGGGTAAATGAACTTTTTGTACGGACTTTTCTTTCTAAGGCCCTCAGATATTCTTTGTTCTACTAAGTTCTCATTTTTGATCCATGGTAGCTTACATACTACCATGGAGTTTAAATTTCCCAGAAATTAATTTTTTAGTTATCTTTTTCGTATTGTCACCTAGTTTAATCCCACTGAAGTCAGAAGGCATGCTCTAAATAACTTCAGTTTTCTGGAATGCACTGTAATTTAGACCCCAGTGAATGGTCAAATTTGATAAATGTCTCATGTGTACTTGAAACCCGCCATCTGTCGTTATGAGGTTCAATGCTCTTATATGTCATTCATTTAATTGTTGCACAGACCTTCTATGTTCTTAGTCAAGTTTAGTTGTTTGTTCTATTAGCTATTGAAAAACCTGTGAATTCTCCAACTATGAAAGTGGATTTGTCTTTTTTTCTTTCTGTTCATTTTTGCTCTCTATAGATTGTAGCTATTTTATCAAGTGTATAAAGATTTTACCTTGTGCTATCTTCCTGTTTGGGTTGACCTCATTATCATTATAAACTGTTTCAAGTCAATATATACATGCACAAGTTTATTTTAGCCAGTAATGTACGCATGATGTATTTCTCCATTCTTTACTTTCAACTATTCTGTATTCTTATAATCAAACTGTGTGCCTTGTAAATAGTAAATACGCTTTCTTTTTAAATCTCGTGTGACAGTCATAGTCAAATTACACTTCATACAATTACTGATATAGTGGGCTTTTATAGCAATCACCTAATTAATCAGTTTTCTGCTCCACCCATCTCTCTCTTTTATTTTTATTT